ACAGCCCCATGAGGCCAAGGGGAGGGTGGAACAGTATGGGTGGATTGGTTTCCTGGTGGTGAATTGGCAGCCAAGTTCTTTGGCAAATGGCTATTCCCCCAGGGCTGGGACCATTTAACAGATTATGTGGAACAGTGGCTAACTAGGAGCTGAGGGGTTTTGGCAGGAAGTCTTTCATTATGAGCTACATAGAATTTTGCATCCCGGCTAGAGAGGGGATCTTCTCCGTCCTGCTCCAGAGGCAGGAAGACCTTTGACCCTGGATCTCCTCACTCAGTCAGGTGTTCTAGTCACCTCTCCCCGTCCCCTCACCCATTCTCCATACCTGGATTTGAATTCTGTGTTGATATCCAGTAGTTGTATGATCGCAGGGATCCTCTTAGCTGCTCTGAGTCTTGTCTGTAAAACAAGGAGACGGGCCTAGATCTCGGACACCAAGGGACCACCTCCCTTTCCCACTGGTCCTCACTCCAGAACTCGTGTGGATGGAGCCAGCAGGGTCACTTCCCACAAAGTAGGAGAGGTGGTCTCTCAGTGTCCCCATGGGAGCCCTTAGATTGGACAACAGAACTGGGAGCCTCTTCCAGAGGGTTGTCAAAGACAGTGTAAGAGAGGGCCACTCATTTCTTTTTCTGTCCCCCCCTCCACCCCTGGTCTCTGTTTCTTTCTCTTTTTATTGGAGTTTGTTTCTTTCTCTTTTTATTTGAAACAGGGACTTACTAGGTAGCCATGGCTGTCCCGCAACTCTACGCTCTATGTAGACCAGGCTGGCCTCAGACTCACAGAGATCCACCTGAGTCTGCCTTCTAAGTGCTAGTATTAAAGGCTCTCCATCTCTTAAAAATGTATTGCTTTTGCGTGTGTGTGTGTGTGTGTGTGTGTGTGTGTGTGATGTCTGCATGCGCTTATGGAGGTCAGAGGGCAACTTTCAAGGTGTCAGTTCTCTCACCCTGTGTGTCATCAGGTTTGGCGGTACACACCTTTCCCAGCTAGCCATCTTGGGGGTTCTTACCCATTTCTTAGGATCGAGCAGAACAGAGTGAGCATCAGGGGCTGCTGGAGATTATGTTTCTGAGGGAAAATCCATGTTGGCGTCCCGGCAGGGAGGAATCTGCCTCTGATGTATACTGGGAAGGTTTTCGTAGGGGTTTCTTTTGAACGCATGGATGTGATTAAAAATTGATTCTGGGACGAGCAGGGATGAGGAGCTGTCCCCATAGTGGGCCTGCAGGGTCGGTGAGGATGCTGCTGTGTCAGATGGAGCTGAAGGGGTCCTTGGAGAGTTTGTGGTACTGAGAGAAGAGCCCTCCTAGTGTCTGTCTGCCTGCGTTTTCCAGGGTCTTCCACAGCCCGTAGCCAGGCCGTTGTTCTGATGGGCCGGTTCCTCCGGGCCTCACGTGAGGTGAGCATTAAAGACACTTCCCTTGGCTGATGCTTCAGGGTTTGCATACCCTGCTCTGACAGCTTCTGAGGACACATGAGCATGGGGGCTCACCTGTTCCCAGAAATACCAATTCTTCTGTATAGCAGAGCCCCTGGGAACCACTTAATTCAGTCCCCGAAGAAGTTTCAAGGCTTGCCTCCCTTTGAGGGTCTCACTGGACTGGATGATCTGCAGTTAATACCGCTTAATTGGTGTTCTCCAGGCTTAGTCATGGGAGCCCTTGGGAGCGGTTCTTCGAAGAGCTTACTGGGTCTGTTGCTAGGGACAAAGCCTTTCAGAGGGCAAACACTCTCATTTCCAGGCTTCTGTTGGCTTATGCTTTCGATTTTCTCTCCCATAGGAGGTATCCCAGTCCTGAGGTCAGGGAGCCCCCTTCCCAGCATCAATCATCCCTCTCGGAGTACCCCGGGAAGGCGCTCTCTGGGTCTTCTGCATCTATTTCCTGTGCTGATTTCCTGACTCCGCACAGCCACTGTTCACTCGGACCCCTGTGCTTGCGTGGCGCTTGCTTAGGGTTCATGCTACACAAGAGACCTTCTCCCTGGTCTCACAGCCCAGAGCTTGGACCACGCAGTGGTTCAGAATGGACTAGCACGATGGAGAGGTGATTCTGAGGAAGTATCCAGGCTCCGGGTTCAGGATGGTGAGGGGCCTGGCCTCCCCCGCTCCCCCATGATGTGATGGGAATCACACAGCCATTTAGACTGCAGTCATCTCCCCAGAGCCATTCTGTCTGGAGAACTCTGCAGTTCTATGTAAAGTACAGTGTCCAGGTGGAGCCCTATCCCCCATTATCCGTTCAATTATTATATTCTTGCCTTCATTAGCCGGAGTGTGCATTGAGCCTGACAGGCACCCGGTGGCCTCTTAGAATTTTAAAATCTGAATTTCAGCACACACACACACACACACACACACACACACCATGATGTTATTAGTCCAACTAATGAAAACCCGTAAACCTTCCTTAGCAGGCCCCTGGGCTGTTGATTTCACAGTTACGATGTACATATGTTAATTATGCCCGAGTTCCAGCAATCCTTCAAGCCTCTCCTCATTCCAGGGACCTTCAGAGCCCCCCTCCAATCCTGTTTCCAGGGGAACCCCATCTCTTTCTCCAGCAGCGAGCAGTCTCCAGGGAATTCCCCCCTTGTTGAAGCTTCAAGTACCACTTCCAAGTCAGCCTCTGTCATCTTCCCAGACGGGGGTTTTCCGTGGAGTGTGGGCTGGGGGTGGGCTGGGAGCTGGGCTGTAAAGCGGGGTGTCTGCCAGCCTCCGTGGGGGGGATGCTTCAGGCTAGAGGCATTGAAGGAGAGCAGCAGGAAGTCTGATCTTTCCAGAGAATTTTCTAAGACATAAGTGTTTACCTGTAGGACTCCCGCAAGGTAGCCATTAGGAGAAATTTTCCCTTTGTCTGAAGCCAGGAGGTTTACTTAGAAGGGGCGGGGAGCGAGTAGGAAATCCTTTGCAGAGGACGCTGTGTTTGTCAGGTTGTTATGGAATTTATAGGAAAGACGGGAGCTGGGTTTTATTGAGCCCAGACTGTGTCATCCCCCACCCCACCCCACCCCCGAACCCATTGCTTGCACACAGCAGGCCTGTCCACCATGCTTGGAAAATAATCCACCTTTTTGGATTTTTCATCATCTCGAGTGGCTCCTCCCTCCAGTCAGGTGAGGTACAAAATGATGATGGTTTTCTTGCTGTGTGGCCGTGGGGCAGGTTACTTAACCTTGCTGATTTTATTTCCGAGCTCGTGAAACAGGGGTGACAACCCTCAGAATTTTTAAAGAATTAAAATGAGGCCAGGCAGTGGTGGCACACGCCTTTGATCCCAGCACTTGGGAGGCAGAGGCAGGCGGATTTCTGAGTTCCAGGCCAGCCTGGTCTACAGAGTGAGTTCCAGGACAGCCTGGGCTACACAGAGAAACCCTGTCTCGAAAAACAAAAACAAAAACAAAAATAAAAACAAAACAAAAAAAGAATTAAAACGAGATAGCTTAATGATCTCGCTGATCTATGAACATTCAGTAAATGCTTGGTAAATGTTAGTTTTCTTTCCTCTCCCCTACAGTCCTCATTCATTAGCGGCTGTCAGCCCCATGTGCTTATTAGCAGTGTCTAGAAAGCCTCCCCATGGATACACAGTAGTTTGGGCCCCACCCACTTCAATTCGACTTTAATTGGCCTGTGACAGGGCTGAGCGTGGGTATATATATATTTTTTAAGCACCTGTTAAAGCATGTTTGAATATATATTTTTTAAAATTCTCACACAAACATGAAATGAGCAAAAAATCCATTTAGTTTGTTAACACACCACCGAAGACAGCGAAGACGACACCCAGCCAGGCACACAGTGACTCTGACATAAGTGGACGGGGAGATTCGGTGTGCCAGTCAGGTGGGGACCGAAGGAGAATTGAAGATGCTGGGCTCACACGGATGTCTATTCAGGTTGAGTAGGAGCTGACGGCAGTGGGCACTTGTCTACAGAGGCTGGTTAGCCACCCACTCTGGGGACTGAGCGCACCGCTTGCCTGCAGTTTGCAGGGCAGCTTAGAGAAGACACTAATTGGGGTTAAGCTAGTAAGCAACACTCCTCCGTGGTCTCCGCATTAGCTCCTGCCTTTAGGTTCCTGCCCTGCTTGAGTTCCTGTCTTGACTTCTTTCCTGAGTTGTTTTGGTCAAGGCTTTCACCATAGCAATAATAGCCCTGGCAGTGAAGGGTAGGCAGAGGGCATGGCATAGGCTAAGGGCAAGATAGAACACACAGGGTCACTCTGATATGACACCATCTACCCTCCAAGAGCTGCCTGGAGCTTATGCCTAGAGAAGGAGGGACAGAGGGAGGGAGGGAGGGAGGGGGGGCCAGGCGGTTGTGGCGCACGCCTTTAATCCCAGCACTTGGGAGGCAGAGGCAGACGGATTTCTGAGTTCGAGGCCAGCCTGGTCTACAGAGTGAGTTCCAGGACAGCTTGGGCTAT